ACAAGCAAGGTGTCTTATCAATATATACATGCCGTGTCTTAAAGTTAGTAGCATATAACATGGTGGCTTACAGTAAAGGATACATAGGGCACCGTAATTCATAGATACACAGGTGGTCTTACAATCAGCAGCATACACATTAGATGCTTTGCGTCAAAGCCAGTAACAGATACATGTGGTGTCTTTCAGAAACATATGCATGTAGTGTCCTACAAGAACATATACATGTGGTGGTGTCTTACAGGAACATATTACATACATGTGTTATCGTATCATCAGTAACAGATACATGACATGTATAACTTTTGGTACGTGTTGTTTTATAAGGCATAATTGTTACAAAAGTAGATATGGGTCTTACAGTCAGTAACGGCTGTCAGCAGTATCTTATATTCTTAACAGTTACATGTCATGTCACAGTTACAGTCAATAGCAGATGCAGACATGTTTCGATATTTATAAACAGATGCACAGTATACCTAGGTATGCCCCTCTTTGAAATAATGTTGAAGTCATCGATTACATACTATTATACATTTACACGTCCTCTATTTGACTGGTTCCTACATTTTAAGTTATAACATTCTGGTATAATTTGTAAACAAAACGAGAGGATTCTGTGGTCTAAGGGGAGACAACGCATTGTTGCACTCAATTAGAATGTACAGTACAAACACCAATAAGTTACGCAAAATTTTTGAATAACATACGATAACTCTTTGTTCATATGTCCAAAATACAATCTATTATTAGACGTGTGTCTAGGTCCTCGATTCATACGCTCAGGCTTATATGCTCATACACATTTGCATCAAGTTTCGGTCCCCAAAATCGAGGACAGTTACTGTAAAGTATGAGCCACGTTCTATCCTAAATGATTGATACAAGGCGTTTCTTATTACCATTAAGAAATATTTCCGTTTTTGTTAAGGACGACAGCGTAAAATCAGAGGTTTTAAATTACGTACTTAAATTCAAAGGTCCTCGATAATGGGGACCGACTCCTAATGCATGTGTGTCATCAAGGTCTGTCATATAAACATACACCTATCAATTGAGGTCCTTTCACACATACAGATGTTTGATGATAGACATATTTATGAATATTTGTTAACATTTATTGATTTTCATATTACCAGTTATTCAATTTCCCTTCACGTGTCAAAAATACAATATATTATTAGTCGCATCTTTGAGTCCTCGATTTATAGGTTCATACTTATCTGGTCATACTATCATTAAGTGTCGGCCCCCATAATCGAGGACAGTTAATGTAAGTGATTGGTACATGGTGTTTCTTATAGTCAGTAACAAATACATATCGGTTTCTGTTACATTATGAAGACCATAATCAGGTGTCTTAAATTACATGCTTAAAACAAAGGGTCCTCGATAAGGGGGGCCGACATCTAATGCAAGTGTGCAGTCTTTCTTGTATCATGAATATAAGCTGAAAATGATTGAAAGTAATCACACTTTCAACCAGCGGCTACCATTCAGGATAGGCCCACATTTTCGAGAGATGGATAGAGAACAAGCTAAAAAGAAAGTGATTTTTCCTACAATCAACGGCCATAATTCAGGAAATTACAATTCGATATGCGCGAACATCGAAAGGAACCGAGATCTTTGTGTTATAAACTTACCAAGTTTCAACAACATCAGATAAACATTGTGAACTCTAAAGAGTCCACAACCTTGATATACCATATTTTTTACGCTATTTGAGAACGAACAGCGGCCATTTTGTCTGTCAATTTTGGGCCGATTTACACGAAATTTGAACTCAGCCATCCTTAGGGTGTAACGGTGATATAATAATACGTTTTTTTAAATCAGATAAAAAGTATGACCTCTATAGGGTCCACAAGCTAAAAACGCGATTTTTCGTACAATCAGGGGCCATAATTCAGAAGTTACGGTCCGATATGCGCGAATATCGAAAGGAACCGAGATCTTTGGGTTGTAAACTTACATTTCAAGTTTCAACAAAATCAGATAAAAATTGTGACCTCCATGGGGTCCACAACCTTGATATACCATATTTTTTTTACGCTATTTGAGAACGAAGGGCGGCTATTTTGTCTGTCAGTTTTGGGCCGATTTTCACGAAATTCGAACTCAGTCGTCCTTATGGTGTAACGGTGATATAATAATACATTTTTTTAAATCGGATAAAAATTTTGAACCCTATAGGGTCCACAAGCTAAAAACGCGATTTTTCGTACAATCAGGGGCCATAATTCAGGAAGTTATGGTCCGATATGCGCGAATATCGAAAGGAACCGAGATCTTTGGGTTATAAACTTACATTTCAAGTTTCAACAAAATTGGATAAAAATTGTGACCTCTATAGGGTCCAGAACCTTGATATACCATATTTTTACGCCATTTGAGAACGAACGGCGTCCATTTTGTCTGTCAGTTTTGAGCCGATTTTCACGAAATTCGAACTCAACCGTCCTTAGGGTTTAACGGTGATATAAAAATACGTTTTTTAAAATCGGATAAAAATTATGACCTCTACAGTGTTCACAAGCCAAAAACGTGATTTTTCGTACAATCAAGGGCCATAATCCATGAAGTTATGGTACGATAGATGCCAATATCGAAAGGAACCGAGATCTTAGGGTGATAAGCCTATATTTCAAGTTTCATTGAAATCGGATAAAAATTGTGACCTGTAGGCTGACGGACGGACAGGGCGACGACAATATACGTCCACATGAAAATGTGGGCGTATACAAATACACAGAGTGGCGACTGCTTCATTTGCATAAAAAGTAGGTCGCGCAGTGCATCTTGGGGTTTGTCTGTGATGTCACTAAACATGGCTGCTAAAGAAGACGTTTGGCAGTTGAACAGAAGTAAATGTAAACATCCGAGTGGTGGATATGGTACCCAAAGAAGGACCTATGTTGGGTGTCTTAATTTTAGGGACTATTGAGGGATTAAAAAAATTCAGCATTCCTGAAGAAAAAGAGCTCAGTCTATGAGCTATTAATGTAATGTAGGGAGAGACTTCAGAGACTAGTATAGAGAGAAATTTGGTTTAACGTCCACTCGACACAAACTAGGTAATTTCGGGACTAACATGCTTCAGTTTTATTTCAATAATTCACTTATGAGCCTTTTTTAGCAGTGAGATGAAACTGGGGGACCCGGAGAAAACCCACGAGGTTGGACAGGCGACCCTACTCCTTGTCTCGTACAAGCGGGGAATCGAAACCATGCCACTTGACTGTCATAGGTCTAATAAACCTATTAATACCTGGTAATTTTTTTTTTTTTTTTCTTTTTTAGTAGTAGTAGTTTCGCATACGTGAGGCATGTTCTTTTACATTCTATATTTTTTGTAAAAACAAATAAAATCTACAAACACAATAATAGGCCCACAGTCTACCGAATAAAACAAATTTAGATGCATATGTTGTCATTAAAAGCAATTGAAAAAGAATCATGTGCGAGGGAACTAACTATATTTCCTGAAGAATCTGTTGTATTCTGGCAAAAGGATAATGGACAAGCCTAATTAGGGTTTCACACTGCGTAGCTTGTGTGAAACACCATTGTTTTTGTTAAGATTATTATTCCAATTCCATTTTGATTAGATCTCAGCAACTGCTTGTCGGATCGTTACGATTTCTTCGGTTTTATCGGGAAAGTGGGTGTGATAAAGCTATTTTGAACTTTCTGTGACAATGCAAGGGGAATTTCGCCTAGTATCATGGTACCAAACTTGGGTACTAAATCGAATACTTCGCTGTTGAGGTGTATAATTCAGATTTTAAAATATCCGTAATACATTGATCATCACAACACGAATCACACCTGTGCAGGGTACCGTATGTACATGTACCGCGTGCGGAGGACAAGTAACGCCCCCTGGAATTCCTTTCTCACATATCTTGGCTATATTTACGCTACAAATTATATTTATATATGAAATATTTTTCCGATCTAATTATTTGATTTTGTAAGTTTTCTTATAAATTATTCATAGCCTTTATTTATGGAAATTGTTTTAAATTTTTTAAATGATTACATACACGTCACCAGGCAATGAACCATGTGCATTTCGATTCCAGCTACCACTATATTTACTGTGGTGTCCTTATGATATAAATATTTTAGATGACCTGGGGGTGCGTTTTAATTTATTTAGATATAAAACTTCATAATGCTATAAACTAGTGTCAAGCAGATGAAAACAAGCGTAGATGGTGTGAAATTCATTGTTATAAAATTGTCTACTTCCAAACTGTGGAACTATTGCCTACGACAGAGCCAAAATGTAAACAGTGCAAATGGCGGCTTTTTGCTTAATTTTTGCATTTAGAAATGAATAAATGTACGTGACGCGAGTATTGTGGTCTTAAAGTCAATTTATTGAAGATCAAGTAAAATTAAGTTCACCTGTCGCAAGCTACAGGTAGTAGTTTTACTTGCTACCTGCCAGACGAAAAAATCGCCTGTCGGCGACCTGTAGACAGGCGAACATGTCGAGCCACGTGACTGGTAAAGTGTCAACAAACAAATTGTGGACGGACGGACGGACAGTGGTGATGGGATAATACGTCCACATGAGAATGTGGGCATATAAAAATTGGTTAGAAAACTGTCATAAAATTTACGCCATTTTCTGACGTAAAAGTAGCCATAACCATTCTGATGTAAAAGTAACGTAAATTTAACTGTAAAATTATACTATTATTGGCCGATAACAAAAATTATGTATACTTTACTGTAAATCTAACGACCCATGTTAACTTGGGTACTTGAAAGCACAGGCATGGGTGGAAACAATCATTTTACAGTTCATGCAAGATCGAATCTTGGCGATACAGTTGGGGACCAAAGGGAAACAGATTAACTCCTTACTAGAAATTTGAAAAAGATGGGATGATAAAGTATCAAAATGTCTGAGAAGTGAGAACCTACTATACAGCTTAGGTTGTGTAACCTAAAATAAGTAAACACCAGATTAAGTTTTTACTTACACGAAGTATGTCAGCAAAATGTTTCAGTACACCAATTCTAACTTCATCTAGATCTTTAAGAAAACCATCTAAAACCGGAACAAGATCACTATGAGTGATTTCTTCACCCAGTATTGTTGCCAATTCATGCAGAGAAAATGCTAAAGTTCTTCTTACTTTCCACTTGAATTTTATAAAAAAATATATTTTATAAACATAATGCAAAGCATGGAAATATGCCCACAGAAACTTTTTCCCTAAAAAGACAAGCCAGCAGTGAGGCGGCAATACTAAAATAAATAGATGACACATTAATTTATAAATTAAACGAGACTTACCTGGAAGTTGAAGTTTGATTGTAATTCTACCTTGCTGTTGACAAGCTTAGAGGTCACATGAGATGCGCACGCAGCTAGATGTCATACTTCAAAAGTGAAGGAGTACAAAAAGAAACCAAAAGTCAAGAATACTAATATACTTAAAACCCATCAAACTTTAAACAACGGCACAATGGCATGGGAAGGGTAATAAAATTTGATCCAAGAAAGGGGTGGCATGTGACCTCTAAGCTTGTCACCAGCAAGGTAGAATTACAATCAAACTTCACCTTCCAGGTAAGTCTCGTTTAATTTATAAATTCTACCTTGCTGGTGACGTCAGCTTAGAGACGTCACATGAGAAATTCAAAGTTATACTCATGAACAAAAACATTATATCACCAAAACCATTTAATAATAAATACATGTACATGTAGCAGGTAAGTCATAATATAATACACCAAACCATACAGTTTGACAAAATTTACAAGAAAATTTTTTCTCACAGTAACTGAGTTACATGTATGTAACAAGTTTTCGTAATTAAATGTTAATAAAACATGAATATTTGTATCATAACAAACAATTCAATTGTTCATATGGTTAAGTATTGAACTTCCAAACCTACCACTATCAGAAATAGGTTTTGCATAATACTTCCTAAAAGTCGACTCTTTCGACCATCCAGCAGTTTGTAAAATGGAATTAACTGGCACTCTAGCTCTATCCGCAGCACTAGTGGAAGAAGCACGTACACTATGCGGAACAAACCTATCAATGTCTACCCCAGCTATACTAAGTGCAGTTTTAATCCATCTAGACAAATACTCTTCATAAACCTTACCACACATAACCTCCTGTCTGGAGCGTAGGCTTTGATAGTAATTTGGTTCTGATGAAATCCTGGACGAGTTTGTTTTAAGAGATCCCCAAAATGAAACTTAAGACTAGATTTCGAAACATTAATGTTCCTTACATCCAATAGGTGCATACTTTGCACTCGTTGTGCAGATAACAGTAATAACAATAATAATTTAAATGTTAACATTTTGAGTGAAATTTTCTTCACTGGTGAAAGATTCTTCAAAAACACAAGAACGATATTAACATCCCAAGAACAAGAAATACTGCAATTCGATTGGCTGACCAGTAAAATCAATTTGCATATATCCAATTTGCATATTGGTCAGCCAATCGAATTGCAGTATTTCTTAAAATTTCGATTGTATCTTAGTTTAAGTTTTCGTGAATAAGGGCCCAGGCCTTATCTGGAACACATATTTTGAGAAACGTACCACAATAGGCAAAGTACCTACAGGTTTATTATTAATAAACACTATTGTGGATAAAGCACATCGTGCTGTGTTGATAGCACTGTAGTGCAAGCCTGTATTAAACAGTTCTGTTAAAAATTCAATCACAGTTTCTAAAGATGGTGAAAGGGGATCCACCATTCTTTCACGGCAGTACCTAAACCAGCGTTGCAGATATGTTCTGTATTGTAGTTTAGTGGAGTCTCTCCATGAGGAAAGGAGAATCTTCTTAGATTTGTCTGAAAACTGATGCATAGAGACTGCTGGCCCGAAATCTGTACCGCCAGCAAAATCATCTTCGGTAAATCTGTCATGTCATGCGGATAGATTTAGAATCTTTGAACAAGATTTTTGTACTTTACTGGCTTTCTCTGGTGTTAATTTGATCGTCATTGAAGCTGAATTTATAATAAAACCTAAATATTGAAGGGACTGTGTAGGCAACAACACAGATTTTTCAGGATGAACTGTGAAACCAGCACGTAAAGATAACATGACAGTGTCTAACACATTATTCTTACAATCTTGTAAGGTCTCGCCCACCAAAAAACAATCATCAATAAATGATGTGTTAAGATGGCCCTCCTTACGTAATTGTGAAAAAAGCACCTTTAATTTGGTGAATAATCTGGGAGCAGAGCCTAGACCATTGGCGAGACAAGTGAATTGATATAGTTTATTTTCCCACTTAAATTTTAAATATTTTCTGTGCATTTTATGAATAGGGACAGAAAAATAAGCATCCTTAAAATCGATTGATGCTATATAGCAATTCCGAGTAATAATATCAAGAGCTTTTTCTAAAGTTTCCATTTTAAAATGACGATACACAACATTATCATTCAGATCTAAAATTATTCTGAGTGATTCGTCTTTTTTGTCTGGTAAAAATATTTGACAAAAACTCCCCATCCTCATGCTGACATTCTTCAATGATGCCTTTCCTTAATAATTTCGAAATTTCCATTGATATTTTTAAAGATTTCTCAGGGGAAAATCGATATGGATAAATTATTTTATTTTGCCAAGGCAAATTAGAAAACTCAATTTGAACTCCCAATATAGTTTTAAGGACATTTTTGTCATGTGTTAAAGATTCCCAAATTTTGAAATTGTCTCTCAATTGGCTGCCCTTAAAGTTATTCACAAAATAAGGCAAGTGTATTTGTAATTGGGAAATGAAAGATTCCCAAGAAAAAGAAGACTTACATATTTCACTCACCAACCTTTTTTTAACCGACTGGAAAGTCTCTATTTCTTGGAAGGTTGAGGATTTCTGTCCCGAGGTCGCCATTTCTGAAAGTGACCTCTGTTTGACCTGATCTCTTGTAACTCTGGGATAAAAAAAACTCTTTCCTTTGTTATAACTTATTGAAATTATTTCTAGCACTTCCTCTAAAGTTACGGTTGTAGTTAGTATTGTAACTATTATTACTGTGGCCTGCCAAGGAATTGACTTCCTTAAGATCTGAATTTTTTACTTAAGTCTTCTCCAAAAAGAAGTTGGGAAGATCCAAGATCACTACTTTAAGCAGGATTACATAAAAGTTTACTAGGCATAGGCAAATCTGGCTTCATATGTTCCCGTCTTCTTTGATTAAATTCAAAATTGGAGCGAGCAAGTAAAGTTAATGAATCCATTGTCATTTTAATGGCCATACCCAAGTCAGTCTGTTTAACACCTCCTTTCTGTTTTTTTCAGGTGCATTAAAAAATCTGTTAATTTTGACATAGAATAAGCTGATTTAATCTGTCTGTTCTGGATTTTCTGAAATTTTACATCCATTGACCTAGTACTTGGCTCTAAAGTGGTCCAGAGTTGTTCAAAAATGAACATATATTCAGCTCTTGAGAGAATGCATATATAGATATTTTTACTATTTTTTTATTTTGATTATCTTACTTGATAGCTACTGACTTTAAAATGCATAACAACCAGGTTCAACATTTCAGATATAACATATATATGGCATCGCAAAAAACACCAAAAATGACTTTTTCAAGGTGTTGAAAAACCTTTCTTCCACGAAAAGTCAAAAATCACAACTTTGAGCCACCATAAAAAAAAAAAATTTCATCCGATTTTGAATCTGTAAAAAGTTTTCTGAGAAGAATGATGAGATCTACTTGAAAAACTTAAAAAATCAAATGTATAATCATAATCACCTTTTCCACCTACTTATATTCTATAATCTTATTAAAGTAGGATGTTCTATGGTAATCATGTGGTTATTCAATGCCAATCAGAAAGTATTTTTATGCAGTTGAGGATACTATTTTATCTCCTTTGGAAGAGGAATGCTAGGTTACGGTTTCTGTATAATTCTTAGGGTTTAACCCACATGTGGACAGAATGATGTTTGGTTGTCACTGGTGTCTGTTTTTAACTTCATGTGGTACTTGTGTTTACATCTTAATTTTTTTAAGGCTTTTGAGGAATCGGGATGAGTACTTTGACATTTTAAAAAAAAAAACCCAAAAAACCCCAAAAAAACTGACTATTTTCTTAAACATACATTATGCAAGAGCTAAATCTGCCAATTGCAGGTCTTCTTTACGCCTTGAATGTTATATGAATTTTTAATTAGACATTAATTAACTTAATGGCATCGCTAGCCTGCGATATTTACTGGATTAGAATCCGGCCTGCTGCTTCGGATTAAATAGAAAGATAGGTTGCCAGGCAACAAAACATATACGCCACAGCAGCTAAATCGTCCGAGCAGTCGTCAAGGGTTGTCGCATATTTATTCCTTTGTTGGTAATTGGGCGCCTTTACAAGACAGTTCCATACAGATCAGATTATAAATTTTGTCGTTTGAGGGTTTACATGGTTCTACAAACTGAAACAAGGGTCTCAACTCTGGAAGTAATCTACAGAAATTGTTGAAATTTGACAGGCTTTTTCGTTTTACTAATTTAAATAATGCATATAAATTTCATACAGATCACATGATGACTTTTGTCATTCAAACGTTCACAATCGCCATAACTCTAGAAATTATTGACGGAAATTGCTGAAATTCAATAGACCTGTTTCACAAATTTAAATGATGCATATAAATTTCAATAGGCTTCTTCGTTTCAGCAATCTAAATAATGCATACAAGTTTCAGAAAGATCGGATGATAACTTTCGACGTTAGAGCATTCACAAGGATCAATAAAGTGAAACAAGGGCCATAACTCTAGACGTAATAAACGGAAATTGCCGAAATTCAATAGGCTTCTTCGTTTCAGTAATCTAAATAATGCATATAAATTGCAGAAAGATCGGATGATAACTTTTGGCGTTAGAGCGTTCACAAGGTTCAATAAAGTGAAACAAGGGCCATAATTCTAGACGTAATAAACGGAAATTGCTGAAATTCAATAGGCTTCTTCGTTCCACTAATTTAACCCATTAGCTGCCACAAGTTTAATTAATGATTCCATAATATCAAACGCTTAAAATATACATTTGACCTAATAAATGACCTGTTTTGTTCATTCAACTATCATGAAAAAGCTATTGAAAATCATACATTACAACCAAGTGTTATTTTATAGCTAAT